CGCTTTTTAGACCACACGTGCATAAGGCCTGCCAGACGAGATATTTTTTGGGAACTTCCAAAGTTCAAAATTTCAGCCACCTTCCCTTTTCCTGATGCGGTATAAAACTCCTGTCCCGGAAGCTGCTTGAAATCCGCCTTCACATAAGTTTCGTCGTCCATGACGACACAGTCGAACTTTGTGAGCAGATTCGTATACAGCTTTCGGGACCGCTGCTTTGCCGACGTGTTTTGTTTGTAATCTCGGTTCGCCACCTTCACCTTCTTAAACGTCGACAACCAGGCTCATTTCTTGGCCCGCTGCACAGTAGTATGGGAGACATTGAGCTTGCCAGCGAAGTCCCAGATGGAAAGGTTAGGATTCCGCTTATATTTCACCGCCACCTTCTTCGTCATCGCTGCCACGTCCGGATTACGATTTCCGCCGCTTCCAGGCTTCCTGGCGGTCGACAGACGCTCCCCAGAACACTTTTAAAACGTTTGTCACTGTTGATTTGGCCACATCCAGCAATTTTGCCAACTTGGCGTGTGAGAACACACGTCGGATTCTCTTTCTGCGCGAGCAAAATTTTGACACGCTGCTCCTCTTGCTTGGACGTCATTTTGAAAACAGGAGAGCAAACGGTGAAAACTCATCATAGCAACCATTGTATATACACTCAACTTCCAAATGCAGCATTTTAACAGAAATACACCAATTTGAAGTTGACCAATTTTCGCACGGTCTAGGTAATTTTAGCGTTTTAAATAAATTTGAGTATTTTTTATAAGATAGTTCAGCAATTTTATGACAAATTGTGGTGTTTGAACATTGATCAGGGTGTCGACTCAATGAAAAAAAACAAAATTCCCTGATATTCCAGCGATTTTCAAAAACAAAATCCAGCTTCAATAAGCTATTACTTTCCTCAGATATATTAGTCCTTTCTGGAAATTTTTTCATGAAATAACACATGGACCTCTAACCCAGTACAATTTAAAATTGAATAACACGTTCGATACATTTCATAGAATGCAACAAAGACAGAATTCGATTGTTGCCAAAAACGGAAATGTACTTATAACAGTCCAGAAATTCTCTGTAGAACACTCCCAAAAATTCTTAAAAATCGTCCTTAGATTCTTTTCGAATTTAAACTCTTTCTAAAAATTTACTGGAACTTCCATGTTTTTTTTTTAATTTGCTAATTCTCCGTAGAGTTCCCATGCAATTCACCTCAGATTCTCGATCAACAATTGAAAAGGGCCTATTAGATTTTATGAGCAAAACATGTTATCCCCCTTCCCTGCCAATACCATCGGGCAGAGAAAATTCTCCCTCCGAGAATTGTCTTCAAATTTTGCTCAGAATTATCTTGGAGTTCTTCTCTTAACTCTTCTGGAAATTGCATTCCATTCGAAATGCGGTTGAAATTATCCTCGCAATTGCAATTGTACCCTAAAAATTCGCTTCCCTTGGTACTTTTTACGAATCCTGGAATCCTCTTTACTCTTGGGAGTTTTAGTAAAAACTCGCTTAAAGATTTTCCTAATGCTTTCCATTATTATCTCTGAGAATGAATTCCTAAAATCTGCTTAAATTTGTTCTGGAAAAAAAAATTCGAAAATTCTCTTAATAGTTCTTAAAAATGACAGTATCGAGGTATATTTTCCCAGATTTGTTAAATTTCAGTTTTTTTCCGGGTGACTTAAAATTCAAAGCCTTTTTCCGGTTTTTCCGGTTCACTGGTCACTCTGCATTTTACATATGAAACACTTGTTTTTAATCCTTGCCTTCTTGATCACATTTTGAGACCCAGCTCCGCAAGAAAATTCCGGATAATTCGTTTAACCAAAAGCTTATTTGCTTATTAAAACTTTACAAGTAAGTTAATTTGACGAGCTAGCCAGGTTTCCAAAGAAGCCATAGAATACTTAATAACGCCACTCGATGCTGTAAAGGAAATGCTTGTCTACGTATATTTGAATCATTATTCATTCATAAAAGTGCTACTCCAAGCAATAAAAAAAAATCCACCCAAGCAAGGCCTTTATCCTAAATTCTTATCAAGCTGTTAAGGACACAATAAGGAACAATAACTGGAAGTATTCAAAAAAAAATCGTCATCGTCTCTTAAAGCTGGGTTTAGACAAGGCAAGTCAATTAATCAACTCAGTTGAAACCATGCTACTGACTTGGTAAACTCACTCGAATTGAAAACAACTCTTCAAGCCAATTGAATTCAACTGAGTTGCCTTGTCTAAACCCAGCTTTAAGAGAAGATGATGATTTACCAGTCTTGCATTTACTCAAAGGCGGTCCACTGCGCTCAAGGGATAGATGGATCGAGCAGACGTTTAACCTCAATCTACCTGTGCACCAACTCTCAAAACATAAACAATTATCAAAATATTGCTTGCAATGGATAGATATCGAGCAGAAGATTCAGTGTATTTTTCAACCGATTCGAGTATGAATATGGCTTAAATCTGGTTTTGAAAGGGCCTCCCTTAGATCAGTCGGTAAAAGCGCAGCTACAAAGCAAGACCATGCTGGTGGTGGCTGGGTTCGATTCCCGGTCCGGTCTAGGAATTTTTTGGGTTGGAAAATTTCTTGACTTCCCTGGGCATAGAAGTATGATTGGACTTTTGCCACACAGTTATACCAATGCAAAAATGGTACAGGCATCGAAAGCTCTCAATTAATAACCGTGGAAGTGCATCTAGAACACTAATTTGAGAGCACGCAATAAGCTAATATGCGATATGCAATAAGCTTGAAATGCGAAGAAGAAGAAGAAGAAGAAGAAGAAGATGGTTTTGAAAGTTGGTGTACAGGTAAAAAGTGAGGTTACGGAACGCCACTGGGTATAACATCTATTAAGAGACAGCAGCTTGAACAGCGTCTAGCGTCTACGGAAATTGATTTTTATCTCAGTTCAACTCAGGAATGTGACAACACCCAGTGGGAGCTGAATTTATAATAGGCTCAATATCATCGAAATACCCTTTTGAGTAACTTTTGCTCAACTTGCAAAAATGCAACATCAAGCATTGCATAGCAAGTTCGCGCAACTTTATTTAAAATTTGAGTAATTCGAGTAATTAAGTTGTTTGAAACAAGCTAAGTCAGTCATACTTATTAAAAAGTTTTTGCTATGAAAATATTCCCCTGAACTTGAATTAAATCCTGATTTTCCAGCTCCAAAAATGAATTCCCTGATGTTCTCGGATTTTCCAGGAGTTTCCAGGTAGTCGACACCCTGATTTTAAATATTATAACAGCGTTACGATTATTTTGAGAATTTTCACGACGTTTTTAATAACCATTTTAAGACATTTGGGCCCCTTCTGGACGAATTAAGAGATTTAGTGCAATTTGGTAAATTTTAGCTATATTAACTTGTTTGGAGTTATTTGACTTATTCTGCAATTTTAAAAGCCGATTTAACGCCATTTTGCTCCTGGGTTTCTAACAATCATGCAGTTTGAAAGCATTGTTTAAACATTACAAAGTCATTTTGGTGTTTTTTATGACCATTTTGGCCTTACAACATCGGTATTCAATATTGGTGGCTCGCAAGCTTATAAAATTTCTCAAAGTGTTTGAGAACCGCTGCTCTACACTCAAAAAATTCCACACGTCATCATCATGTGTCTCACACTTAATTTTGCGCATATTGTGAAACACATCCAACACTATGGATTTGAACTGTGACACTCTTGGATTCTATGTGCCTCATATGATGATATCAATAGCTTTGCACATCATAGTTCAATATTCTACAATATTCTACTTTATCGAATTCTACTTTACCGACTCTAAAAATGAATCGACAAATATATAAACAAAACTGCCAGAGGCCAGATCTGTCACATATCTTTTTAATGGATCTGATTTGGGATTCGATCATGGACTGTTGGGGTGAGCTGCTGCCGGAGTCTTCGTTCGATCTCACTGTGCCACGGTTGTCATCATATATGAGGCGGGTTGATAGGATAAAGTCACAACTCTTGTTTTCGATGTTTACCTTTCTGAGCAAGCAATTCACATCGTATTGAAATGTAAAACACTTTAAATCCATCTGTTTTGAACAGTAGTGTGATTCAATGTGCTATACACTTGAATATAGAGTGAATGATTTTCAACATTTCAAAGTTTGAAACACCAGAAATTAACGTGTATAACACATTGAACCAAGGTGAAATACACTTAAAGTAAATGTGATTGTGCATTTAAAAAATCAAGTGTTTAAACACTTCGATCAAACGTGTGCAATTTTTTGAGTGTAGGTACATATGTAAGAATGTAACCAGTGCGTTCAAATCACCTGATCATGAATATGGATGCAAATTTAAATCGTATTCCATTATTAAGTAATTCAGAAAATGATTTTGTCGAGGGTTTTGGTGGAACCCATTTTACTTAGCTTTGAGATAAAAACAAAAAGAAGTATAATTTCAAAAGAGGTGGCATCATATTTTGAAGAAATTATCAATGATTAATTATTATTGATTTTAGCATGACAGAACCGTTTCGCTTTTATTTTTTTGATTTTAAGAAACCTTTAAAAACTGAGTAAGAAGGAATTAATTAATGCTGGCTCGGGTAAAATTGTATACAATAATCATGATATTTTGTGCAATTTGTTCCCTCTACTTACGCAAACTAGTCCCACTGTGCTTCTCTGCTGTGTGAGTCGTTTCAATCTAGAGCCGAGTGAAGTATATTAGCAGTAGGTACACTTTTGTCGAGTTAGGTAATTACAATGTAAAATGCACACACAAAAGTCGATCGTGTTTTTTTACAAACCCTTCACCTCTCTCTCTCTCTCTCTTTCTCTCTCTCCACTACTTGTCTTTTGGGCCGACCCAGGCAGTTCAGTTCACACACAACACACAAGTTCCGGAATAAACTCTACTGATCGCTCAACGATTACACCAACTACGTAGTGTTCATGAATTTTTTTTCCACAATCCCACAACTAAAAACACTTTCGAAATAAAACTTCCAACTCAAACCTTTTTCCTCTCTTCTGCTACTGCTGCTGCTGTCTGCCTGCCTGCTTGGTGCCTGTGCGGAACTCCCGGAAAACGGCTTCTTCTTTCCACCACAATCGTATACACACACGTCAAAATCGAAACAAGCGAACGCGAGAGGCGAGACAGAGGATGATGGAAAAAGAAACAACGAAATATTACCCTCCGCTGCTGCTCTTGATGTTGCAAGTTTTTACTTGAGAAATAAAAAATCGACTCCTCAAGAGGACGACCGCACACAGACCCAACAAAAGGAACGACCAAGACGCTTCCCGAATTCCGTAACTCCCGGATTTAGAACTCGACTTCCTGTACGCGTAATACCGACTGACGAAAAAGCAACCTCTAACCGGAGGAAATTCCGCTGGAAAATCGACCCCTTCCGAGAACTTGCTCCGCAAACACCGAGTGGTAATTATTTTCGTCTAGCGACTGGACGACGCACTATTTTATTTTTCAACCGACGAGTCTCGGAAAAGTTGCTTCTTTCTTCTCGATTCGATCGCGCAAAAGAAGAAAATGAACCAACGTACTTGACAGTTCCCGAACGAAAGCTCGCCTTTCTGATTTCCGATGGGGAGCCTCTCGGTTTATGGCGAGCGATGGAAAAACGGCGAGAGACAGAGAAAGGGAAAACAAAGCAAAAAGGAAAACAACAAATTTTTCCTGTCAAAAAGTGATGTTTTGATTTCTGACATTTTCCAAACGTCAAACTGAGACGGCGTGAAAGCCCGATGGAAAATTTTAATCGTCTTAAACAGATGCCAGTGGCATGACTATTAATATATATGAGAAAGTTTGCTTGCAATTGGTGAATCCATCAAGCAGAACTAAAACAGCATTCATCCTTTTTTATTTGACGAAGCACAATTCAAGAGCCACATGTGAAAAGGGCATACAAGCTTTTTGTAAACAAACCTTTGTAGGCCCTCTTCTCGTCAACCGAGGGTTGCCCACGCAAACTAACTACATCATCGGAAAGGGGAAACCTTCCCCTACCCGGCGATGTTGATAGTTTGCGTTGGTGTCATATGAGTGGCGAGAAAAAGGCATAAGAATGTTTGTTTACAAAAAGCTTGTATGACCTTTTCACATGTTGTTCTTGAATTAACGATCGTTAATCAATTCGTCAATGGTTGTCATATATTTGTCGGAAACTTTAATTGGGTTGTTTACGGGAATTGAGGTAAATATTTATTCGGAATCTGCATTAAAAATGGAAAAGAAATCCAAAATTTCATTAATTTTGGCACTCGATTTTCTTTAAATAAAAGCGATTATATTAGCAAAATAATAAGTAATAATAATAAGTAATAAGCTATATAAAAACCTACAGCCAAAAACTCGCTGATATCCTGGGTCACATTAATAAACCAAGCGTTCTAAATAATTTGGAAGGTTAGATTGGTTTTTTTTACTCATTTGAGAGGTTCAGATCAATAAAAGGCAGATCATACTATCAAAAAATGAATGATAAAATCAGATTATGGATTGGTCTATTATAAACAACATATGATGTAAACATTCTTGGAAGTGGTCCCAGGATTGATAAAAAACTATCTGTTATGTGGAGACTGCCTGGGTGGCAAGGTGATTGGAGTGTGTTTTTGTGGGTGTTAACACACGGTGGCAGAGTGACTTACCCCCTGCAACATATCGTTCCCGGATCAGCCTATTTTCGCCCCGATACGAAGATACCGATCATGTGTGGTCATTCCAGCTAGCAATCAATCGTTCATTAATACGGATCGGTTGAAGGAATCCAACTCGCGAACATTTATTTGCTTTATTATGCAAACTTCGCAAATTTAAATAATTTCTAAGAATACAAAAAAATTAAATAAACTCGACGATGCTTGCGACGATGTTGTTAATAAACATATAGGGAGATCTCCATACACAACAATAGGCTTCTAACGCTTCTAAAATACCACAATAATAGGACTGTTTCCCCTAAAGTATGTTTAAAATAAACATATCAGCGGTGCCGGTGGTGTAGAGATAAGCGTGATTACCTCTCACCCCAGCAAGCCTGGGTTCAATCCCAGTCGGCGCCGCCGGGATGTTCTGAGGCATATAACATCTCTGATCAAGGGAAGTAAAGCCGTTGGTCCCCGGTTCATGAGTTGATGGATCGATAGGTAGGGTCCAGGTGTGGGAGCTGCTTCCTTGGCGTCGGTAGCATTGGTGCTCAGCACGGAAAACAAGATCGACGGAAAACAAATCAAGGAAAAAAAAATAAACATATGATTTTTACAAAAATGTCAAATAAAATAAAAATTTTCACGTTTATTTTCATTTTGATTATTTTTGAAATAAACGTTAACATTATTTTTATTTTTATCATTAATGTCACATGAATTCTAACATGGAATACGTTTAAAATCAACCTACACACTTAGAAAATAAAACCAAACTCGGTTTAATTTTCTACCGAACCTCTTCGGTTACCAACGAGAAACCGAATAAATGGTTTAAAAATATTTGTCAGGCGTATTTATCGAAGCAGACACGAATTTCGGTAAAATAGTATAAATTTGACAGATAGAAATGTAGACTGAACCGAAAAGTTCGGTAAAGTATCGACATTTACGAATTCGCTACGTCAAAAGCAAGAAACTCGGTAAACTGAACCGAATATTCACTAAAACGTGTTAAACGTCAAACGCTTAAACGTCAAACGTTCCACTTGCGCTCAACTTCGCGATTGAAATTTTAACCGAAAACTCGGTACTCTAAGGCTCTGAACCATTTGGTGGATTATTTTAACTTTTGGTTAAAATTTGACAGATGAAAAGTTATCGATTAACCCTGCTATCCGAGCATGGTTATTTCTGACAGACAAGAAGTTAAATTTTGACAACCGTGGCTCGAAAACCGGTCGATCGACAGCACGGGGATTTTCGAACATAGAAAATAACTTTCGAAATGTCACTTTTAACCACGAGTTAAATTTAACTCGGCAAATGGTTCACAGCCTAAGCTGAGTCTAAAATTAGTCAGCAATTTTTTCTTGCGTGTGCTCGTCGGACGTGTGCAAAACTTAAGTAAAAATCAAGGGGTGAGACAGGTTTACTCTGAGTTGCTTTTTTGCAGCGAGTAACTCGCGAGTAACTCAATGTACCTCAATATTTTCTCTGCCTACTCCGTTTACTCTTTTTAAGCATATACGTCTCATATTAGACGTCAGGTTTGTTAGTAAATAAAGTAATACCAACCGGTGGAAAGTAACGATTTTAAATTGGCTCAATGCTTGACTAGCCTATTGGTCCCAAGCAACTCGATTAACGTATCCCATTCTAGTAGAAATTCTAGTACTACACTATGTTTGTTTTGATTCGCTATGAAAGTTTGACAGATAACATGAGGGGTTCTTGGATTTTCCTATGTTTCGAGGGGTGCATCGATTAGCTTGGGACCGAAGAGAGTACCAGAGCTGAGCCAAAAAGTTGAGAACGTTTGTTCGGGACCTTCTAGTCTTAGAGTTAACTCTATGGTAATACCACAGACAAACAGACATTGCGTAGTACTAGAATTTCGACTAAAATGGGGTACGTTAATCGTTTGCTTGGGACCAATAGGCTAGTCAAGTAGTGAGCCAATTTAAAATCGTTAGTTTCGTATTGATTGTTGGTAATACCAAGTGTATTCCGAGCCTTTCGAATAACTGGAATATTATGGAAGAACCTGTGCCCGTGCCTGCTTACTACCAATAACAACATACACTTCCAACCAGCTTTAATGGTCGTGCTTCCTCCTCAGCAACCAGTCCCAGTCATCACTCCAAAAGAATCATCTCTGATCAAAAAACCTCTCAAATATTCTTCTAAACATCTGAAATTCCACCTACACGGATACAAATCTCCTTATACCTTTTGGCAAATTTCCATTGCTGATTATTCATAAAATGTATAAGTCAACTAATATGAAGACGCCTTGCAAAAAGTTAATAAAGATCATGTGTCAAATGAAATGTATAAGCGGTCACACATACCTTTTATGCATTCTAATAGGACCTATGTGGTTTATTTTATGGAATGTATAAGGCTGATGCTTTGGCAAAAATGTATAAGTGAAACACATGAATTAAATAATTGATTTTCGTTTCGTGTATAATGCAGTGATAGCATCATCTTAGATTTCTCCAGTCGTAGCAGCAGCCCTATTGGAAAAGGCGTTACCAGTCAATGTGGTAATAACTAACTCCGATCCCTTTTCGACTAACATTCCCGTTGTCACCAGGGCAAACATAGAGTAGTGAGTAATATTTCAACTGTGAAACGTGAACCAGCTCCTGATTGGCCGATTTCATGTGCGTAACATACAGATAGAGATATATTAAGATAGAGATAGAGATAGAAATAAAAGAGTAAGAAGCCAATTGTCACCTCTTCCTAGGAACCAAATTTTGTTCATTTAAATCAAAAATATAAATGTTCATTCTATAAACATATGAATAATTCAAAATAAATTAAAAACATGTTTGCAACAAAAATATACATGTTTGAATTAAAGTCAAAAGCATGTTTATTTCAACAATATAGAATTTGGGTAAACGATTTTTAGCGTGCCCTGCCTTTTTTTCCTTCTTGTTTACATTCGGAAAAAAAATGCCCCAATCAACTGAAAACGGCCCGTAACAAAACCGAAGTCATGGATTCGGAAACCGGTGTGTTCCGGCTCGATAAAACCGGAGGAACCCCAGCGGTATCGACGTCACTCTGTCGTTTCTTATGCTGATCCTGTATCATCCTCCTCCACAACTGACGTCGAAAGAAAAACGAAAATCCGAAATAGATTTTGAATCTATTCCAGATCCTCCAGCCTCCCCTCCTTGAACACCAAACGTAGAAAGAGACCGGCATGAGGACCAGCGTTAGAAACGACAAAACGACGCTGATATCACAAAGTTTCACTGATTTTACTGAACTGAAACTTCCGGACACTCACCCCGACGGGTCACCGCATCTCGGACCAGGACCCAATATCCACAGCTTACCCTTAATCGAACCCGAAAAAGAGCAGGAGCTTAGATGCCTTGTCTGCAGATCGTTTTTTCATCTCTTTGCAATCTTTTTTTTTTGCTTTATCCTGCTAATATAATTTAAAATTAAGTATGTTTCTTTCAAACATAAGAAGCATGTTTAAAATAAACATATTTATTTTTGTTCATATACTTGTCAAACCAAACAAAAATATTCACGTTTATTTTCAACACGAATATTTTTAAAATAAACGTAACATTATTTTTGTTTTAAACATTAATATCACATGACTTCAAACATGGAATACGTTTGAAATAAACCTTGTTTATTTTTGTGGCCAGAACAAACTGAGTTTACGTTTAAATTTACCTCAAATATTTTTGTTTCAACGATAAATTTTTCTGCGTGAGGAAGAGGTGACAATTGGCTTCTTACTCTTTTATTTCTATCTCTATCTCTATCTTAATATATCTCTATCTGTATGTTACGCACATGAAATCGGCCAATCAGGAGCTGGTTCACGTTTCACAGAAAAGTGGTTTATTTTCGCCCCGTATGATCACCTCTTCTCTTAAACGCTCTCCAGACTGGAGAGTTATAACATGTTATAACGGTTGTCAACTAATTGCAACACAGAAACCACCATCAAGATAGCGCTATAACATGTTATAACTCTGTAGTCTGAACGTACTATTATAGTACGTTCAGACTACAGAGTTATAACATGTTATAGCGCTATCTTGATCGTGGTTTCTGTGTTGCAATTAGTTGACAACCGTTATAACATGTTATATTTCGGTAGTCTGAATGTGGTATTAGCTGTAAATGATAAAAATGTATGCCAAACGAACGTATGTCAAAATGGTAAACACTCCTAAATTAATTAATATTATAGGTTTTTCTAGCAACACACCCAATTACGACGCCAGCTGTCAAAACACAACAGCTGTTGTCCTTTTTTTGTTTGTTTGCTGTAGCTGTTGTGTTTTTTCCTCTTATTTACGTTTGGTCAGGAAGGAGCGATTAATTATTTATTATTTGCGAATCGATCGAAAAAGCTGGAAAAAAATCATTTGAACGATGTTCACGATAGTGGATTTCTACGGTAAACAGGCCGACTACAGTTGCGGCTATTGCAAACAACCAACATCCTGCCAAACGCATGGTAAGTTCCTGTTCTTGGATTCGCCCTCAATGGAATTGTTGATTGTTCATTGTTGGATGAATCATTTTTTATTCGTTTCGATTCGCAGGAATGTGGGCCCACACCATGACCTGCCAGGACTACCAGGATCTGATCGATCGTGGCTGGAGACGGTCCGGATGCTATTGCTACAAGCCGGAAATGCACACCACCTGCTGTCCGTCGTATACGATTAAGTGCGATGCGACGCGTTTCCGCTTGAGCAAATCGCACAAGAAGACCATCAAGCGGGTCAATAAATTCTTGAAGGATGGCGTAAGGGCAAAGGACGACGGCGATGGGACGAGTGATGCAGATCGTAGCGCAGAAGATGGTAGTGCCGGCGGGGATTTAGAAATGGGAGATGTAGCGCGTAATCCCAGAAAGGAACTGAATCTGGATAATGTAAAAGCTCTCGTTAGAAAAGAGGATGGTCCTGTGGCACGAGATGCGGTCGGTGGGATGTGCTTAGCAAAGGATCCCAGCGCTGGAAGTAGCTCCGATTTGTCTACGAAATCTTCGACCGGTGGTAGGAATCCACCGAAGAAAGCGAAGCTGTTGAGAATTGAACGGAAGCGGGAAAAGTTAATTCAGAAAGGATTGAAACCCGAAGAGCTTGATAAGGAAATGCAAGAGGCCAAGGGTAAGAACGTTGAAAAGAGTCTGGAGGATTTTCTCGCTGAAGAGCCAGCAGAAGGAGAGCAGTCGGCACATCGTTTGAAGGTAATTGAGTGTATGAGGTCCAGTTAGAAGACTAAATTTGTATTCATTTCAGGTAAAATTAGTTTTGTCGCAGGAAGGAGCTAATGACTTGGTATATGCTCTTTACCGCACGTATCAGATGGGGATCCATAAGGATCCCTCTTCAAAGTTGAACATGGATCGTTACAAACGATTCCTAGTGAAATCTCCCCTGAAGGTGATTAGTTTAGGCTAGTTGTGATGATATTGCTTTGTTTTTCTTTCTTTTTCTCCCGACTTTTACTCCTAAAACCATACACACACCAAAAATTGCCAAATTGTAACATCAGCTCGTTATCGTCTGTACCTCGAGTAATGAGTTCAAGCGAACCAAACAGATCTCCTTTGGCGTGTACAAGAAGTACCAAACCGAGGTGCACAATGATCCACCCAACTCGATCGAAGAATATTTGGACTTCCTGGTCAAGTCACCGCTTCAGGTACGGCTCTTCGTTCCCCTGGAAGCTTTTTTTTTGCGCGTGCTTCTACTTACAATTACCCTATCATTGTCTGTGTAGTTCGCTAATTTCAATTGGTTTTCCTGTGTCCTAACCTTACCTCCCGTGAAACAAAATTCTTCTTTTACGAAAAACGACTAACGTCGAACAAATTTCAGTACACAACTGGTCAGAACTCTCCAAGCTGTGGATTTGGATCGTTCCATCAGCAGTACTGGTTGGACGATCGCCTAATTGCCGTTGGGGTTATCGACATCCTCCCCAGCTGCGTCAGCTCGGTTTACTTTTTCTACGACCCCGAGTATAGATTTCTCTCACTGGGGACTTATGCATCTCTAAGGTGACACACTTCTAATGATTCGAAATGGCCAACACTAAACGATTGCATTTTCAGAGAACTTGCCTTCACGCGTAAGATGCAACAGCACACCCCCAGTATTACCAACTACTATATGGGATTCTATATCCATTCGTGTCCCAAGATGCGCTACAAGAGCAATCTCTACCCGTCGTATCTGCTCTGTCCGGAAGTGTACAGCTGGCACCCGTTGGATGCGAAAGTTGTGGCCATGTTGGACAAAAGTAAATATTGCCGCTTCAACGAAAACCCCAAGGCGGTTGATCAGAATGCAGTCAGTTCGGAAGATGTGTTGGACGTGCTTATTCTGCATGGCAGTTCCTACAAACGCTACGGGCAATATATGGTAAGGACTTCCGCATTGTGCTTATGAAATTTATCGTAAATGTTCTTAACATTTTCTTATAGAAAACGGTGGGTTTGACGGTACCGGCCAAAAACACGTGCACCTACGCAAAGTTGGTTGGGAAAGTGTGCTCCAGTCGGATGCTTCTTTATGAGGGGTAAACAATGTGTTTGCGTGCCTGCTGGCTGCTGAATGAAGGAGAATCCACAGACAAACAGACAAAACAAGTTAATCGAACACGCATTTAACAGCCAATTTAAATGTTTTTCAGTTTGAAGTACCGCCAATTGTGACGCGCATAGTCAATTCCCTTGCGTTTGACGTTTACACGCTACCGCCATCTGTTGAGAGTACTGCACATCACAATGTACCCAACAGATGGCGGTAGTGTTTAGCGACGATGTTTTACAGTAATAAATATGTGTTATGTCTGCTTGTCGGTGGAAAATCGTTACTCGTTTGTATGTTTTAAGATGTACCTAGCTACCATAGAGATCTCCAAGCGCGATCTAACGAACACTAAAATCCAACATCCATATATAAAAATGAAGAAGAAGATGAAACGAAAAGGTATCGCGTTATCACAACTACTTAAAAAGGTAACACGCGGTCTCACGCACACTTTTGTGCATCTGGAGAACTCTATTGAGGTTGCACTCGCTATAGAGATTAGTGACGTTTAACGCACGCACACTAGCGGGTATATCGCCGTGTAAAGTTGTTTATTATTTTCCTCTGGCTAGCCTAAAACAAATTATGAAATTCGATCTGTCAAAATGAGATTGACAGCGATTTGTTATGTATTTTACTCGGATTTTCACTAACACGCTCTCATATATCGCACCAATACAACCGGACGTGAAAATCTCAATAGAAATCTAATTCGTTTAAAAGCTTCCCGCATAAACGCGAACCATAAATTGACCTTACCTAAAATGGTTAAAAATTGTTTATAATCCCTGCTAAACTTTAACTGAAATGGTTATGGAACTTTACATGAACGTTTAATGATAAAGTTTCAACCTTATGTATTATGGTTTTTTGGAACTGGACCTTACAAATAATGGGTTGTTAAGAACCATTACCATTTCAAATTCTTGTTTTCTCCATACATTTTCGGAAAGAGAACTATATTAGAACGTTTTTACTTATGGTTTGAGAACATTAATGGTTATGGTTATGGTAGTCAGTAAGGTCCATTAATGGTTTTGTATTATCGCTCAACTTTACGTGGAATATATCGTGAATTGGTAATCAGTAAATTACAGGCAACCAATTCGCGATATATTCCACATAAAGTTGATCGATGTTACAAAACCATTCGTGGACCTTACTGACTACCATAACCATTACCATTAAAGTTCTCAAACCATAAGTTAAAAGGTTCTAATATAGTTCTCTTTCCGAAAATGTATGGAGAAAACAAGAATTTGGAACGGTAATGGTTCTTAACAACCCATTATTTGTAAGGTCCAGTTCCAAAAAACCATAATACATAAGGTTGAAACTTTATCATTAAACGTTCATGTATAGTTCCATAACCATTTCAGTTAAAGTTTAGCAGGGATTATAAACAATTTTTAACCATTTTAGGTAAGGTCAATTTATGGTTCGCGTTTATGCGGGTTACCATTCTAAAGAATAATTGCGAAATAATTGTAAACAGGCGTCTAGCTATTTATTGCCCTCAATACACGTTAAACTTTATTTTATGGAGCATACTTTCACAAATGTAGATGAATAATTTCACTGCCCACAAACCTCGCCTTTCTGATTGCCAATCTACGTTACATCCGGTGGGCTCATGGTGTGTTATCAGAACGTTCGTGACCTGTGAACAAAAGTAGACTACTATCGAGCCCAACTACAATGCAATACAAAAAGTACTCACCGAAAACTGGCTCGATGACCGAAGACCGATGTCGAGTTGATCGCAACCAGATCAATAGTACCATTGACTGAACTGTTGCCTCGATTCTGCTCCGATCAGCACTTTTCTAGAGCAGTTGTGGCTTATCAAGATTACGACATCGCAGAGAACTATATGAATCGGCGTTGTGTACTTAGGGGAACGTGGGGTAATAGGCCCCCCTAAGGAAATGATCGATTCTCACCACATTTTAATCAATAATAAACATTCTATTTCAGCGCATTCATCAGTCTAAATAATCTTCTTGATGGTACCAAAAACATTATGTGAAAATGTGAATTCATCACCGAGAATATTATTTTACAAAATCTTTATAAAATTTAATGTTTTCATAGTAGCGTTTTTATTTTTCGCTGTGTAATATGCGCCACTTCGTAATAATCCTCAAGCGCAATGAAAGTGGCAGCGGAAAAGCCCGATCTGAGTAAGCATACTTGTCGGATGGATGAGTATATAGTTGACAAACCGACTTGGGTTAGCCATCTTGATGTTATTTGTGACAACTGTCAAACTTTTCGTTTCCGTTCCGCTTCCGCCCTCATGGCGTTTGGGCCTTAAGTTTTAGGGGCCACCTACATTAGATCTGAACTGACGCGTTGCGGCAAACTGACAGCTAAAGCAAAATAACCATATAAATTTGATTAGGGGAGACAAGCGAAATTTAGAGATTTACCGAGGAATGACATCTCTTTGTGTCTGCTGGAAAGTATTCGAGATAATCATCAACGACGCTTTATTTGCCTGCTATAGAAACTACATTTCTCCTGACCAACATGGTTTCTACCCCAAACGTTCGGTCTCAACAAAACTCGCCCCTTTCATTTCCCTATCCCTCGGAATATGCAGGCAGAAGCACAGGTGGACGTCGTATACACGGATTTCAAGGCTGCTTTCGACCGGGTTGATCATGCCGTTCTATACGTTGGAGCATCTGGCGGAAATCTTTACGAAGGCTTTGGACGCTGGTCGATTTGAAGGGCTGAGAAGGAAGCTGGGAGTGTACGATCGAAAGGGGGTGAAGACTAAGTAGGCCTCGATTATTTGAATCGATGGTCAAGGGCCACCCACATTAGATCCGTTTGCGTTGCGTTGACGTAAATTTGACAGTTAGACAATAGATTTAGCAATCACTTTGCCGCAACGCGTTCGATCCGGATCTAATGTGCGTGGGCCTTCACAGTGAGTTGTTAACAACCGCTTGAAGCAAACGGTTACTTTTAATTCGTTCCTTAAATAAAGCTTTATTTAGTTTTCGTGATTCCGTTATTGGCAAATCAAAGTTGGCACTCGTGGAGAATAGAAGAACTATAACAGTGATGATGGTTTTAAAATTTTCCACGGGGAAGTATAAGAAATGCAATCTTAAAATGCTTTTATTTTGCAAATGGAACATTTTATTTAAAATGGTTGCTGCTACAGTGGTAGAAAAGCTCAAATCTATGTGTACACCTAAAAATCTGAAAAGAAATTAATTTTTCTGTATTATTTGTCTATTGAGTAGTCCTTAAGTTTTCTACTAACATAGCATCAACCAGATTTAAATAAAATGCTCCATTTGCAAAATAAAAGCATTTTAAGATTGCACTCGTATACCTCACCGTGTAAAATTTTGAAACCATCATCACTCTCATAGTTCTTCTATTCTCCACGAGTGCCAACTTTGATTTGCCAATCCTTTTTTTCGGAGTTCCTGTTGTCCATTCCATTCAAGAAGACATTTTCTTCGAAACTTTTCGTGGAAACAGCCTGCAGCCATTCGTTCATCAATGCTCGTGAAGTTGTCCTCGCTGATCCTCGATTGCGCCCTATTGTTCCTTTCTCGTTGGTGACGCTGCTGAAAAAGTCATCGTCGTCATCCAAGTTCGTACCGCTACTGCTAACTTCTTCAGACTCCTTCAACAATTCTTCTACCGCTCCTTCCATTGCTTTTCTCACTCTCGGTACTTGGGGTCATACTTCTCCAGCCAGATCAACCGGAACTTTGGATGCAATCAAAATACTTCCCAAATATGCATCAACCAATGTATCACAGAAGATAAGCCCTTAATTTCAAAAATAGTAGCGGCTACGGTAGGCAGAAAACTACCTAAGTAGGTTTGATCCTCTCCTTGAACCTTGTCAACGGCTTTGGCTAACATCGACATTACTTGAATGTATTCCCCCTTATTCTGCGAGTCACGTGACTCTCTGTCACCGGTGAGGTGACAATTGGGTTCTTTAATGGTATTGAGGTAAATGCATATTCGTAATCTGCATTAAAAATGGAACCCAAACCCAAAATTTCATCAATTTTGGTACACTGGAACTATTTTAAATAAGTACGATTACATTTGCCAAAATCACCTTATTAGTGCCCCTCGGTGTCACTTTGTATGGGAGCGAGCTGTCCGTTTGTTAGTTTAGTGTCAAACAGTGAAGTTATTATTTTGCTTTAAATCTTGATTTAAAAATCGAGATGAAAGTGTGTGGGTTCGAAAAAAATATCGCTGTGCTCCGAAAACGAAGCTCTTTCAGATGATGTATAAAAAACGAAACATTTTTCAAAATTAAAGAACCCAATTGTCACCTCACCGATGAGAGAGAGTCACGTGACTCGCAGTATTCTTTTCCATAGGGGGGATTCTTTCATGGACCCAATATCTTCATCTGTAAACGCCTGCAATTTAAGTTGCTCTGCTACTCTACGGATTCCTCTTCGATTTGAATCCAGCAGATCGCGACGAACAACCATGGAATCGTACACTGAAACAAATCGACATGTACCGTTTATTGGATCCATCTTATAACATAGCAATGTCAGCAGATTTATTCATTCTATGTGATGATTGATAGATTCCATTGGATTATCACTTAAAAACTATGACTGCGATATGGAATGATTTCTATCGTAATTTCACATACTTAGTACTTGATAATACTTTGCTTCGAACGTGGTTAGCGAAGGTAAGAAGTATATGAATATTGTCTGATATATTTCATGGTGAAAAACTGTTGATATGTCATGGGTGGGAACATACATCTAGAAACTAATGGAAAATCATATAAGTTTGCACTATGAGAAAATTCAGTAAAATATACCTGTTTTCATGATGAATATTGCTCACTAAAATATATATCTTATAAGATAATCATGTATATTTTATTGGAGTTGCTTTTACTGATTTTTGACGTTTGTTGATATGTCGCGTGTAAATAGACATGTAGAAACTATTGGACTGTCATTTAACTTTGCAGTATAGGAAAACATGTATATCTCATTGGAATAGCTTCCTTTGATTTTTGAGGTTTAGAGATTGTAAACAGATCTATCCCAATAATTAAATAGTCATATAGAAATGCCTTTTAAGAGACCCAACAGCAAGCATTTGTTTTTGCATGTTTTTCTGCGATGAATATCGCTCCCAATAAAATACATCTTACATGATTGTTCTTTATAAATTATTGAAACAATTTTCAACGATGTTAACGTACACTCATTAAAATGATTAGTTGCACTAAATACTACTAAAC